GACTAGTTGTCTTTGTAAGGTTCTAGAGAGGATGGTTAATACTCGTCTTGTTTGGTTCTTGGAATCAAACATGATCCTCTCACCCACACAATGTGGGTTCCGTCGACAGAAGGAGTGACCTTTGAAGTCACTAAGCCAGTTTATGTAAACCAAGCTATGTCATAAGTAGTAAGAAAATAATAAAGAATAGAAAAACAAAGTTTAAGTATTGCGGTGCTATAACACCCATACACACACACACACATATATAATATATATATAACTTATATGCATATAAAACTTACCATTTAAAGGTTTGTTTCTTTGTTGGTAAACAAACTCTCACAATGATCTGTGTGTGCTGTGAAAATCGCAGGAATCGAATCCCTAATTTTAATGTTATAAGCTCTTATGATTACCGTTGAGCCACCTTAGGAGGGGGCAGAAAGGGCATTAAAGCACTCAAGGTACTGATCATTATATATATATATATTGCTATGCCAATTAAACTCTAAAAGAACAACCATTGAATTGCTAGCTTTATAACTGACTATGTAGAGGGCGTATACGGTGAAGCAAGCAAATAAACAACATTATTTAAGGTAAATATGTCAAGGTATTCTGTTTTCAGAAACCATACACTAAGTAAGAACGTATAAAACATCAAAGTGCATGTAATTCACATTTCGCTACAAACGCTTATAAGGTTGTTATTAATTTTAAAATATTCAAAACATCACTTTTATTTTTGTGCAAGCTACAATTGAAGGTGGTACGTTATCCAGTCTATGCACGTCATAAAAGCACGAATACGTGATAAAAATACAAGTTCGACACAAAAGTCCACCTTGGATAACCTTGTTAGAGGGGATGTGTTTACATATACATAGAAATTTACTAGCATAAATACGCCTACCACCCTCACGTCACCAGAGACTAAACTCTGTAACTTCTGGAGCTATCATCTGGGGCATGGTGAGTGTGTATGTGTATAATTCCTAATATTTAGCCGTTGAAGTGTTTGTAGATAAATAAAACAGAAATAACTTTGTTGATATATATATAAGTGATATAAACAACGTTTATAATAGAGAAAGATCTGGCAGGTTCCATGGGATGCATTTACATTTAGACATCAAGGTTAGAGCAAGAACAGACTAATAAAAACACCAGTGAGAGAGATACAGTGAACATGGTACACATAGTATACAAGATATATAAGTACAACTCTGTTCTTTATTAATGTATTATATTTATCTATTTACTAGCTTTTAAGTGTTTTCAGAGTGTGTTGCAAATAATGCCAACTAAGTGACAACAAGTAAAGAAAGACTAAATATATTAAATAGAATATTTGCAAAAATATTTGCATCAATGAAAACCAGCGTAATTGGTTAGTATAATGCACACATGAAATACATACAACTTTATAATCCAACCAAGCATGTTTAACACATATAGTGACATTAAAAATATGCTCTTAATAAAACTTAGCAAGTAAACCAATCATCTTGTGTATGTGATATCATTTCACTGGTTATACGCTGCTAATAAAACTTATCAAATAAGTGTATATTGTTTAATAACTAATTAAAACCAACGTTTCATATTTACACAATTTTAAAAACTTTATTGAAGCCGTCAAAGGCTTCCACTCTAAAAATACACTCTACGTGTTCATTGTGTCGCCGTCCTTTACGTTGTCTTCAGGAGTTACCTGCAAGACATACTAATTTATAATTATTTTTCCTACTGCGTGATATTACATTGCTTTTTGTATGTATATAATTTCTTAGTCAATATTAAATCACGCTAAATATCAATTCTTTCAGTTTATGGCCCTTCAATAGTATATTACTTATTTGCATGAAAAGAATGGATTTTTAATGGTAACATCTCTAAATATCATGCAGTAATTTAGCATACAGTCTTATTGTTTCATTAGTTTGGCTTTATGGATTAAATACATTATTATGCTATTCCTCTATCAATGCCTTTCAGTGACACAGCGGTATATATAGTTGATGATATGTTGAGACATCCTACGATGAACTCATCATCCTATTGAACTATCCACCTAGTAACACCATCCGCCTATACAATCTTGGTAATAGCATCTGTCAACAGAACCTTGATAACAATATCTACTCTTAGCACTGCACTTCTAACACTCAAACTATGATGTCACGTCATATCTCCTAGGCGCTCTCTGGCATGAGAACATCTGGGTGTCAAGTGTTATGGCGGCCTAGCAACGTGCCCCTAGCAATGCAGCCTGTAGTTCCACGAAGTGGAACTATGACGTTATCGTCCCTCCCCCTGAGCCTGAGGCAGCCAATGAGTGTGCGTGTCCAGGGTGTTGCCTTAACTACTAATGAAGAAAGATGATGCATCAACACTATCAATTCCCTCAACAATCTCAAACACCTCAATCAGATCTCCTCTAACTCTTCTATTTCAAGATAAAACAATTTCAGAGACCTTAACCTTCCCTCATATGACAACCTTTTCAACCCAGATATAATCATAGTAGCTGTTCTCTGAACCCTTTCTAACAATTCAGTGTCCTACAATACTTCAGTAAAAGCTACATTACAAGAGCAAGTAAGATGAGAGACAAACTTACTACCAAGTTGTAATTAAGAGAAAGAAGACACTAATTGACCAGTACATTGGGACCAAAATAGGTGAAACACTGACCAGTACATTGGGACCAAAATAAAGGTGAAACACAGTATCTACCAAATAAGGACCAAAAAAATAGGAATAATAAATCCACCCCCATATGGACCAAGAGAAAAGCCCTCCAGTGGCATAGCGGACTTACAACACTAGAAACAGGGTTTCGATACCCGTGGTGGGCAGAGCACAGATAATCCATTGTGCAGCTTTCTGCTTAATTCCAAACAAACAAACCAAGATAAAACAGAGATGCTCTCAACAATAAAATGATGCCAGTAGAAAAGAGAAATATAATTATCTGTAGATTGTGATCAACAAGGGTAAGAGGCGATCACACATACTAAATCAAGTCCAAGAAATAGGAGGGACAAACTCATCCATAGGTCAAGACCAAGAAAGGGAGAAGAGAGAGATCTGTTTTGAATTTTGCGCAATGCTACACGAGGGCTATCTGTGCTAGCCGTCCCTAATTTAGCAGTGAAAGACTAGAGGGAAGTCATATGTCACCCACCGCCAACTCTTGGGCTACTCTTTTACCAACGAATAGTGGGATTGGCTGAACAGCCTGTTTATCCACAGGCGGTAACCCGCCATTTTCAGGGTTTTGAACAGTGTTGGTAATTTTTTCGATATTTTTTTTATGAAATGAGTATTTGGGAATTATTTTAAAGAAAATGATATAAAATTGGGAATTTTCTAGAAAATAGAAATCCTTAATGTATAATTGTTTTCACGTTGGTCACCTGTGTTCATCCTTACTGCACACTGACTCTGTAAGTCTGCAGTTTTTAGTTAATAAAACAATTAAACAAATTATGTATATCGATACAACCGAATTCATAAAATAGAACATTTTTACATTTTTTCAAATGTTTCGCGACGTTATAACATTTTCAAAACTTTCAATATTTCCCGTTTGTGCTTTATTATACAATATACATGTGTCTATTATTTTCATGTAGTTGTAAGGACCAAAATAAACGATTTTTATTTTATATTGAATAATTAATTAATTAATTATTAGTTAGTTTTGCATTTGTAAATATTTATGTAAGTTACATTTTAGTAACGCACACAATTTAACGCACTTTTTCTTAATTTACTCTGTTTTTGGCATTATCGGGAATTTTTTCAATCTGTTTGGGAATAGTTGGCACCTCTACTTCGCATTACTGGTTTTGAAGCGTCTAGTTAGGAGTTTATGTCAAGCTTCCAACGTGCTCTGTCCATTTAAGCCACTCAACATTACGGTAAGCCATTGAAGTATGATTAGTAAATAAGGATTATTTATTTCCTAGGTTGCAGCTATACCTGGGCGCTGTTACCAAAGTAAATATAGATACTTTTAGAAGGTTTTAAGGGTTTTACAATTGCTTTTATCATTGTAAGCAATAAATATGATGGTGTTCAAGACACCAGCAGAGTATTTTACTCAAAACTCACTGAATGAACCCCCGTTTATTTACTGGGTTTTGATCAAAAATCTGTTTGATATTTAAAATGCACTAGTTCATTTAAATGTATCTAAATGCACCAACTTTCCAGCATAAAAATTATGCATTCTTTACTGATATGATTTTTTTCAAAATGGCGATTTTCTCAGAAATGGCTCTTAACGATTTTGATTAAAATCAAGTTACGCGTAGATATTCAGATCCATAATAAAACTGCATAGCCCATTTTACCCTAAAAGTAATTGTACGCCGCCTACGTACATTATAAGCTTGTGTATTTCTATAAGCATTGGGTGAATTATATTCATTTTGTATATTTTAAATCGGCCAAAGGCAACAGTATCTAATTAATAATTAAAATATCTAAATATAAAAAATGTGTTCTTTCTGGTAGTTCTTCTCTGTCACTATAACACAGTAACCTGGTGTCTGTGTATTGTCGTTCATGTTTTGCCTACACTAGAGATTTCGACCCTATTACAATACTTTCTTTTACTATTGCTGCGAGAAAGTAAAACTAAAACCCCTATTTTTTACTGATTTTTTTCACTTCTCTTCAGATGTCCGAGACTTCGGGGAAACACCGAAAGCTTTCTGGAGCTCAGCACAGAAAGTATAGAAAGAAGAATAAGTAGGGAAATCAATTTCATCCATAGTTAAGTTTTCCAAGCAGATTCAGCTCCTTCAACGTCTGCTGAAAGAGTCCTGCAGGGTCAAACAGAAGATGAATCTTGTTGGACATATGATGCTTAATCAAATTCGAACGCTCACCAACCTGAAAATTCTTCTCCAGGGGACCCATTAGAGATTCAAGTCAAAGATGGGATCTTTTCTGCAGCCAAAGAGGCAGGTTCGTCAACTGAAAAAATAGGAGCAAACTTTCTGAAGGGGATTTGTCAACAGATACTACACCTACCGATGCTTCTAGAGAAGTTAGTGATGTGCTTACTATGACCGAATTGTGGGATCCAGCGAAATGGCCCAATACGTTAAGTGAAAAAATGAGGACATATTTGATTGAAACAGGGCCTTTCAAAGAGTTCAGCAATATGATTTATCCAAAAGACGATTTGGGTAGAAGTTTTCAAACACATACGACTACAGGAAGATGCCAAAATGTAGAGGTGATTCCTAGGGATTGGATTGTATATTCTGCCTCCAAGAATTGCGTTTTTTGTTTTCCCTGCAAAGTTTTCACAAAAGGTAACTCTCTTTTAGCACATGAAGTGTTTTCTGACTGGCAGCATTTATCTAGACATTTGAGTAATCATGAAAAAAAGTCACCATTATATTGAGTCTGTTTGTAAGTTTATAGATTTGAAGAGAAGTTTAACCAAAGGGCAGACTGTTGATGCTCATATGGAAAACTGATAAACCAAGAAAAGAAGCGTCGGTAGGAGGTTCTGTTGAGGATAGTGCAAGGCGTAAAATTTTTATCACAACAAAATTTGGCTTTCAGAGGTATCGGCGATAAGCTTTTTGAAAAAAATAATGGCAATTTTCTAAAATTAATCGAAATGCTGTCTCAGATCGGTCCCTTTATCGCTGAACACGTCTAACAAGTTCAAAGAGACGAAAAAAATAGTCCACATTACTTGAGGCACCAAATCCAAAATGAGATAATTACTTTGTTATCTTGAAAGATTAAATCTGTCATTGGAAAAATTATAGAAGGCAGTAAGTATTATTCATTGATCTTAGACTGCACACCGTACACTATTCATCAAGAAAAGATAACAGTGGTCATTACATTCGTTATGTTCTAAAATGTGAAAAAGACGTCGAGATAAAAAAAAAACATTTTCTGAGCTTTTGAAAATTCTCGATACAACGGGCGCTGGCCTGACTAATTTTGTCACTGATCATTTAGTGGAAAACAATTTAAATATTGAAAATATGCGCGGGCAGGGTTATGACAATGGCGCTAATATGAGAGGGATAAATAACGGTTTGGAGGCCCATATTCTAAACAAAAATCCTCGAGCTTTTTATGTTCCTTTATCTGCTCACACTCTCAATTTGGTAGTTAATGATGCCGCAAAAGTAAACTATCAGATAGTTTATTTCTTTTCTGTAATTCAACGTCTGTTCACACATTTCTCTTCCTCGACTAAGAGGTGGGAACATTTAACCAATAATGTGTCTCGGTTTACTCTGAAAGCAGTTTCAAACACTCGATGGGAAAGTCGAGTTGAAACAGTAGAACCTTTACGATTGATTCTGTTTATCCGAAGTTTGTGACAGTTTATCAGAAATAATCGATGACGAAAAAAGTGAACTACCTTCCAAGCATGAGGCCCAATGTTTGTTGAAATAATTGGAATATTTTAAGTTTATATGTTTCATCGTTATATGGTATGAAGTTTTATCGAGAATAAAGGTTGTTTCTAAAATCATGCTAAACGTTGTTTCCAAAATCATGCAAAATCCAAACACAGATTTAACATCATGCATTGAAAATTTAGACCTACTTAAACAGACTATCGAAATAAATTTGAAGAACAGATACATACTGCGTCTGAAATTGCCAATTCATGTAATGTAGAGCCACACTTTCCTACGACTACGAACATGAAGATGATATTATGACTGAGCCTAAAGATAATTTCTGCATATATTCTTTTTAATGTTATCATTGACACGGCTGTTAGATCAATCCAAGAAAGATTTGACTTGCTTCAAAATCATAGTGAAGCGTTCAGTTTTTGTACGAGTTTAAAAAAATTGTCAGAACTGAGTAAATCGGAGCTTTTGAAACATTGCATGGACCTTGAAATAAAACTCTCCGACGAAACTGATGAAAACTGCCCAAAGGAGATAAGAGCTGCGGAACTTACAGATGGACTTAGTATCATTATGAGTTTTTTAAAAACAGAAACTTCACCGAAAGATGTCTTGCAGTACATTTATAAGAACACATTGACGGGAACATTTCCAAACATTACAATAGCGTTACGGATTTTATTAACGCTCCCTGTGACAGTTGCTAGTGGAGAGAGGTCGTTCTATAAATTAAAACTAATCAAAACCTATTTGAGATCAACAATGGGACAGCAAAGACTTACTGATTTGGCTCTAATAGATCAACAATGGGACAGCAAAGACTTATTGATTTGGCTCTAATAGATCAACAATGGAACAGCAAAGACTTACTGATTTGGCTCTAATAGATCAACAATGGGACAGCAAAGACTTACTGATTTGGCTCTAATAGATCAACAATGGGACAGCAAAGACTTACTGATTTGGCTCTAATATCCATTGAAAGTGAAATTTGTGAGGAAATTGATTTGCAAAATATTTTAGCAAATTTTGCTAGTTTGAACGCTAGAAAGGTGAAATTCTTTTAGCTTATCTGTGGATGATAAGATTACATATCTTTGACATTGTAGAAATTAAATGTTATTGCTCTAAATAATGTTTAAATTATTGTATGCACAGCAAATACCATGATGGGGAGTTTTCTCGCCACAAGAATTGCCTGTGCTTGTAAAGCTTTTCTAAGACAGAGAACCATTGCCATTGTTCATAAACATTGAACTTCCAGGAGGTTTGACAAAAAACCCGAATGGAAAAAGCGACCCTAGTGGCAGAAAACTCCCCATTCATTCGTATCTGCATATATTTCTGAAAAGTTGAAGGAGGGGGAGGTTGGGGGTGGCAAATGATCTAGCGCCGGCCCTGAGAAAGGATATATATTTACCATCAAATGATCTAGCGCCGGCCCTGAGAAAGGATATATATTTACCATCAGCTCGATACCCAAGCAGAGAAAAACAAATCTGCCATGAAGTTGTCAGTAAGAGAAGAGAGTAACTCATAAACACGTTAAAATCAAGAGAATATATAGAGACAAAATCACTACTAAGTCAAAACCACGAGAAAGAAGGTGCAAGTCCTCTGCTAATTCGGGACCAAAAGAGAGAATAAAGACAAACACACCACGTTCGGTCATTTTAAACACGGGTTAGGTCACTTCTCGTCATTAAAAATACAGACATAGGTTATTCTTGGTTGTTTTGAAAACAAACCATTTCCAATCATTAAAAAATACACATCAACTTTACTTCTGGCTATTTAAAGCTTGTTAGAATCATCCGAGCATTTTTTTTTTATAATTTACGAAAATTCTCTGGGTACTATGTGTAAAGCCACTAAAAGTCAGTTAAGTAAGTTTTTCGTCCAAAAAAAAAAAAACAACAACTAGTAAATCATGTAACGGCTAATATTCATTTTTCAGTTAAATATTAATATTACAAACTATCGATGGGACTTAAGTGTTTTGTTTTAGCCTTTCAGAAATAAAATAGCAGCATAGATTTTTCGCGATACTTGGACTGTACGAAGTATCCCTCATCTTAGTGTAGGCTTCTTCTGAAAGTTTTTGTCAACCACCATTTTATACTTTAATTTCATTCGATACTAATGAGCTCAGAGGCTTTCTGAACAGCTACGTTCAACAGTTCCTACGTCACAATGCTGTTCGTCACAGGCCCGGCATGGCCAGGTGGATAAGGATGCTCGACTCGTAATCTGAGGATCGCGGGTTCGAATCCCCGTCCCACCAAACATGCTCGTCCCTTTC